GATTTGAGTTCAGGGCTCTCACAGCCTGGGGGAAAAAGCTGTTGAGCAGTGTGGCGGAGCGGGCTCTGATGCTCCGGTACCGTCTTCCTGATGGTAGGAGCTGGAAGAGACTGTGGGAGGGATGAGTGGGGTCCTTCACGATACTGTTGCCTTTGCTGGAGCATCGTGTAAGGAAAATGTCCAGGATGGAGGGGAGAGTGCTCACTAACACAGATTTAGACAGATTTGTGAACAATATTTGAGAGAAATAGGCCTTTTGTGTACATAGAAAAAGTCTTAGATCTTTGAGTTCAACTCATGAAAAATGGGGGCAAAAACAAAAGTGTTGCGTTTATAATTTTGTTCAGTGTAATTCAAATATCTTGTTACTATTTTTTACCTCTTTTTTTTTTGGCCGCTGTGCCAAGATTGTGTTTGCATGCAGTACAAATAGCCTATAGCAGCATTTTAGTGTCACGCTGAAAAATAACTAAATAAATAAATAAGATTAATGTCATAATATTTTAAGAATAATCAATATGCATTCACATATTTATTCATGTTTATTTTGTGCTGCAAATATTGAAGAGGCAAATATCATTGATTCACGTGCCGCTTGAACTGAGGCGAATATAGTTATCTCACTACAAATAAAAGAGCCTAAAAAACATTTATTGTTTGTATTTTATCTTAAAATTGACAGAAGGCTGAGACTTTGTGTTATAACCTAATAAATGTAACAAAGCACAAAGCTTATTGCGATTACAATGAATGGACTTGAAAACGTTAAATATTATTTCCAAGCATTTATATTTATGTAATATTATATTTACGTAATTAAAACTATATATATATATATATATATATATATGTGAATAGCCACGTAACGATATTTACTTAAAAACAAAATCAAAAATAAGTTAACAGAGTTAGAGCTCATAACGTTTTGTGGGGGCATACAACATTTTTGCATATAGGCCCGGGGCTGACTTGCTACGCCACTGGCGCTCCATCTAGTCGTATTCGAACGCAAGAAGGCGATTTGTGTGAACTGATCCTACCGCATCTATGTTCGACAATTTTGAAATAAAATGGTTCCAATTTCCAGTGCTGACATGCGCTTCAGCTACAGGTGTAATCCATATGTTTCAGGCTGTAGGACGTCATGACAGCCGAAAAGACGATTCCCATAATAAATGGAAAAGCAGACGATTCGATGGACCCCGAAGCGGCGAACCCGAGCGCAGTGTGCAGCAATGATAAGAAGGTGGTGAATGAGAGAGGACAGTGGAATAATAAGGTTGAGTTTGTGCTGTCAGTAGCTGGAGAGATTATCGGCCTTGGCAATGTTTGGAGGTTCCCATATCTGTGTTACAAGAATGGCGGAGGTAAGAGATTATCCATTCATTCCCATTCAGTGACACACTTCATCTACTTCTGTCAAAGGCTGATGGAGTTTTTTCTTTATTTTTTTGCCTTTCATGACAGTTGTGAACAAGCAACCTATTTATGCACCAGATATCTTTTTTTCCCCCCACCCATTTAAATTTGCTTCTAAGTTTTGCTAGACAGCACTTTGGGTCAACTTATGGTGTTCAATGAACTATAAGTACATGACAAAAGCATAGTAGTGGCATGGTACTTTTTGGTTGTAGATGCAGTGTGTTTTAAATGGGTGGCTATGAAGCTGTAGATTACAAAAACATACAAAGGGGGCACAGCAATAAAAAAAATTGTCGTGGGTCGCATGAAGTTTAGTTGTGGACATCTGATATATGACTAAAGTCAGAAAAGGCCACTTCAAACAGTGCAAGAGCAGTACAAGAGAATTTATAAAGAGACATTAGCACACAATGTACTATTAAATCCACACCGCCTGGAAAACATCCAACAGCTAATGGGAATTCTCAATTATTTCTTGTCATAATTTGATTAGTCACTCTTATAGTAAAACAAATAAATAAATGTTTTATGATTACCGGTCACACATCTACTATTTCTTTTGGTTAGTTGGGTTAGGCTAGTCGGACGTTAGTTGCCTTTGCATGAATTAATTAAATACATTTGCTGGGTCTCATGAATGCCCATGGGTTGAGAGGTGTAACTTTATGTGTCTGTTTTAGGTGCTTTCTTTGTGCCTTATGTCATCTTCTTCATCTGCTGTGGGATCCCAGTCTTCTTCCTGGAAACAGCGCTAGGTCAGTTCACTAGTGAAGGGGGCATAACATGTTGGCGAAAAGTCTGCCCACTGTTTGAAGGTAAGGCTTAGGTCACTCTAGTTCATTTTAAAACCATATTTTTCTCTTTATTCATTTCCTACTCGCTGAGCTGAACATACATCATTAGTGAATGAGAATAAAAGGGATGCAAAACTGCATGGTTTCCTGTCTTTAAGTATTGGTTATGTGTTCTCTAATAGGCATTGGCTATGCGACACAAATCATCGAGGCCTACCTGAATGTTTATTATGTGGTTATATTGGCTTGGGCCATTTTCTACCTGTTCAACTGCTTTACAACAGAGCTGCCCTGGGCATCATGTGGTCACTACTGGAACACGGGTTGGTTCATTTGAAGATTAAATAAAGCATTCCTAAGAACTAAGTAAAACCATTTTAATGCATGAATGAAAAGCTGGCAAAATTGTTTTATCAAAATTGTTTTAACTTTCCAGAAAACTGTGTGGATTTTAACAATGAAAGCATTGCCAACCTCACCAACCCATATGCCACATCACCAGTCATGGAGTTTTGGGAGTGAGTCTGATTCTGACTGTTTATTTATACATTATGACATAATGTACGTGTTCCTAGGAACATATTTGGCAGCTGTTCAAAGCCCTAAAGAGACCAGTCTATGAATTCACCCGAAAACTCTGCGGTCACCAGCAATTCACAACAACAACAATTAATATGTACAGTAACGCACTGACTTTCCAGGCAACTTTTGGCACAATTCATGTGCAGAGCAATCGACCACTGCTTATTATCCATGGAAATTCAGAACCTTTTTCACTGATAATTTGTCATTCTTTTTGCATTGCTGTTGTCAACAAGCATCAAAAGGGCATTTGCACAGCTAGGAATGGTATGGACACAAATTTGGCTACAGTTGGCTTGTTTTTTTTCCCCCACACAGTTTCATATTCAAGGCCAAATACAGAGGAAGCAGACAAGTCTTAGTGGTCAGGCAGTTATCGCATGTTGCTGGCCTCAGTCTCAAACATTGAGCATGCGGGCGGGCCTCTAGTACTGAGGGGCACAGAAGCTGTCAGTTCTGAGGTTGAATGGGGAAGGTTTGTTCAAAGGGGGCATGGCTTAGGCAGTGGATGTCACCCAAGAACATGTCAAAGATGATAAATGGCATTGCAAAAAAGATAATTGTGGCTTTCCCTCGCAATCTCACAATTTATTGCGTCACAACCAGTCAATGTTAAACAAAACTTCGGACCACCTTAAAGTTAGAATGAATAGTTGGGCATGTGGAGTTAACTCTCCTGGAAGTCAGAAGCGCTTGGAATTTTCATGGATATCATTGTTTCATGGCCATTGTACACTGTGCGCATCAGAAAGTGTCACGGGGTTCACATAATTTAGTCAAATTTAGAGCTAACTTTAAAACTCACCCATACAAACCTTGCAGAATATAATTGCCCACTTGACTTGTGTTCATGCGTTACATGACTGCTAGAAAGAATGTTTTCCCTTCTAGACGCCGTGTTCTCAGCATATCCTCTGGAATCGAAGAAGTTGGCAGCCTTCGCTGGGAACTTGCTATCTGTCTTGCTATAGCTTGGATCATATGTTATTTCTGCATTTGGAAAGGTCCCAAATCAACTGGAAAGGTAAAAACAAAAGGTCCAGTGATCAGAAATGGTGGTAAATGTGTGTAGATGTTAACCAAAGAGTGAGAAGCCGAGTTGGAGATGTCTCAATGAGAGACTTGGATGAATGGGGAATTTAGCGCCCTAATGTTATGTGGTCAATTCAGCACAGAATCAATTGGGTGAGTGAGACGTGCATTCTGCCCTCGCAAATTATGTATTCAGCACAACTCTGACATGTGGAGCGCTCATACAGTATGTGGCAATGTGCGGCTACAGTGTGGAACCAGTGATTTGAAAGGGCTCAAATGCAAACATTACCTGCATAAAGTGTTGAGTCTTTGAGGGGACAATGGCACTTTGAGTCTTTAGACATAGACTGATAGAATGTCAGCTGTCAAAACTACCGACTTGCATATCAGACAGGCAGGCATCAAAAAGGCCACTGAACAGAAATCGGCAGCCTTCCAGAAACCGAACGGAAACGTAAGGTGCACAAAGGTGCATCCTGACAAACCAATATACTGTGAAAAATGTGCCTTTGGAAAACAAGCAGTTTGCATTATTCCTGTGTCTGGAGCACAAAATGCAGCTCTGGCCTTCTTTTACCTTCTCCTTGTACCCACAATCCATTGCATTATGAGGGCCTGTATCCCTCTGCCAATCTCTGCAACTCAGTCACTATCCTTCCTCTGGATTCTATTTTTCCAGCAGCCTTTAAGAAAGTCTAACGGACTCAATGAGCCAGAAAGAAAGTGGAAAGAAAGGAAGAGGGATGTGTGGGGAAAAATAAATGGGTTCACATTGTACAGGTCCAGGAGAAAAGCTCGTCAGAAAGGCCTATATCTCCTGAAGTGGCTTTTGTTTGGCCGTGAAGCAAGGGGAAAGAATGCTCCTTCATGGCGAGGCTTTAGCAGCCTGTCCAATATTGATTTCTGTATTCACAAGGGGAAAGTGGAGCGCTCATGAGGAGAATGCAGAGTTCCTCCGCTTGCCTCTTCCTTTCTGTGAGGAATTATGTCTGTTGGATAGAAAACTGCTTTCTTCCTTTCCTTTGACCGTTATACAGATTGCAGCATTCAGGACATTTGCTAAGCTGTTCACCGCAGGTCTTTTGTGGCTTTTTGCGATTCTCCAAAAAGCCAGCGGTAGATTTATGGCATGGGGTTGACCTGTGAATGTGAGACTTAAATGTTTGACCAGGGAGAGTTGGGAGAAAGTCAGCGTGTGTCAAAGTCTCACGGCGAGTTTATACATTGCCCCATTCATTGAGAAAAACCACACGCATGCATTAGAAAGCCTAGTGGGGGATTCGCTTATTGCAGTGGCCATGGTTTTTGGATATGGATATGTAATCATTTTACAAGGCTAATTGAAAATGGAGTGAATTAGCGAGCTGGACAAGCTTTGCCTCGCTCATTCTGTGAGGTGCGTTTGGATTAAAGGATTTCCTTTGTCAAAGCGCTCACTCTTACAGATCTCTGCTTAACACGGTTGGTTTGTTTTATTCCACCAGATTACTTGGTTAAGCAACATTAACAAAGATTTACATCGATCTCACATTGCAGTTTACAACATTTTGGCGCAAATGAGGGAGATTGATTGATTTCGGTAGGGAAGCATTTTTAAAAGAAAAAAAGCTTCCTGTCTCTCCATTTTATTAACTATGAAGGAGTGACACATTTGTTAATCGACATGAAGAAGTGTTTGTTGTTGTTTAGTACAGTACATTACGCAGGTCAGACTGAAACCATCGGCAATTGTACGTTTCTGTGCCACACATTTTCCCACACTGCCAACACAACCCAGTTGGGCTCCTTCTAGAGGGAAACAGGGTAGAAGCTTTTGTGTCTGAACCCTGTCTTGTCCTCGTATGGTCTTGACCGGGTGCCAAAGGAACAAGAACCTAGTGCCGCCCCCAAGGGTGGTTTTGTTCACGGGATTGAAAGAGCTTCAAAATGTTGAACTCATTTCTGTGGACCGTGAATGGCCTTTTGCAAATGCATCTTAGGTTCTAGAACTTGAATGTATAGTGGAGAAGAATCATGCCGTGATGTTCTAATGCTGTCGGTGTGATTGCACTGAGGATTCGAGCCTCTATGTGTCTTGGGAGACAAAGCTCTTACACTGGTTGGTTGAGACTGGGTAATAATTCAAGGTTGTGAACATCATGTTGACAAGTCAGAACATGATGGGTGCCTGGCTATTCTATTTTTGTCTTTTTGATGTGCCGTGTTGCACTGCTGAGTGTTTTCTCCATCAAAACCTCTGGCTCAGACCTGCATCCCTTCCTCCCCCTGAGTGTAACTCTTTCAATCGGCACCCAATTAAGACTTTGGGAGAGTACCTGCCCCCTCTGGCAGACCCTCAGAGCATTCAGTAACCCCTTCACGTTAAGTGCAATGCTTCATTTGCTCACTCATTCATTTGCTCCAGCCCTTTATTTGAAAGGTATACTAGTTGCACAGCTAGACAGCTGATTTGCACATCATAGCCCATCACAAAGCAGGGTAAAAAATCATGTTTAGTCTTCAGTTTGTCCCATTAACTTAATTTTAATGGAATGGTTCAAAAATTAAGAATCCGTTGATGCATCAAACCTGCATGCTGCCATTTTTTCTCTGTGGAATACAAAAGGAGAAAAAGCCATTCTCTGACAAAAACTTTTAATCTTACAGTAAATGTTCACAATCAAATTCAAAAGAAAAGACACATTTCACTGGTCCTCATGTGCATCTTAGTGAACACAATGCAAGTGTTTGAATAAGCAGAATGGAGAATTTGTCAAGTCAATATTAGTATAGCACTTTTCACAATACACATGGTTTCAAAGCAGCTTTACAAAAAGTCATACTGTTATGTCTGTAGTGCCTGTAGTGCTTTACAATAGAGCAAGTTTTAGCACTGGGTGATATGGTGATTTATAACAATGATATCAATTATCCTCCGAATTTAGATCTAGCTATATTGTTTTTATTTTGTGTAGTAGTTATTATCCATACTACAGTGTCATGAGCATGTGCCTGAGCATTCAAATTTAATTTTAATGTAAAGCTGAAATGTTAGTAGCATCTGTTGTATTCACCAGATCAAGTTTTACCAGATTTTGATTAAACATTACGAAGTCCCTTGTATTTGTATCTACTATCTAATTTTTCCCGAAGACAGTAACCTATCGTATCATTTCAGAATACTCAGAAAAAAGTGTACAAGTCATATAGAGTACGTTAATGGTTCTTTATTGTGTTCTTGTTGTTTTTTGGAGCTTGACAGATGTGGTCACTATAAACTGTAGTTCTATGGAAAAGAGCTGCATGATGATTGTTCAAAATGTATTTTCTGTTCTATGTAAAAAAAATAATGTTATGCAGGTTTAAAATGACAAAATAATAAATAATTAATTTTTATTAATTTTGGGTTAACTATTGCTTTTATTTTAATTTTCTTAGTGCAATTGTATAGGTTTTGGTGATTTATTGCACCAACTGGTTTGGATAGATCCAGTGTCTCCAAAAGTCTCTATTTGATCTAAATATGAATATGTTGGTGCAACGTCTTTGAACTTCATTCATGACCATGGAAACTAAGCCGTGTTTCTCCATCTGCAGGTGGTGTATGTCACTGCAACCTTTCCTTATTTCATGCTGTTGATCCTCCTTCTTCGAGGAATCACGCTGCCAGGAGCTGCAAATGGAATTAAGTTCTACTTGTATCCTGATATCTCTCGTCTATCAGACCCTCAGGTATGAACAATTTTATCCAGTTTCACTGTACGTCTAATGGATTTAACACCCAGCTGTTAAATACATAAGAATATATAGCTAAAGCAACTGAATGTACAGTAGTTTCGTGTATTTTTGTGACTTTAGAGCCCCCTACAGTTAAGTGAGTAGAATCCGCTGTTGTTAATATATCACTGTCGTAATTACAGTGATAGCTGTGCACGTGAATTTGTTGCTGCTATAAAACAGTTCGGCCTTTTTATGGAATTTATTACCTGCTCAACAAACTTGCACACTCCCAGAACAGATGTTTGGAAAGAAACAAGCCATTCGCCTAATTAGAAGAAAGTGTGCCATCAGAATGATTCTGAACCTGATATCTCATGGAAAAGAACTTACACACAGTTGCTTAAAATTACATTTCTAGGCATTTTTAATATGCTAGAACCTGAATAAGTCAAACTTAAGTGAATGCCAATGTCACCAGTTTTTAAATCAAATACTTGAAAATGTTATTTTGTGTTTCTTTCGATAGGAAAATGGGAATTTCATACTGAAATGCAAATATTTTTAAACTTCTCATTGTTCATTATATTTCTGCCATTACTTTGGCAAAACATCTGTCAATCAAACTAAAATTGAAATTGCAATGGCTTAGTGTACTTGTTGTAAAATCGCAAAAAAAGCTCTAGTTTAATTAAATAAGTATAGGCTATAGTCTGTTGATCTTCTGGAGTTTTCAGTTTCTCAGAGCTGCTCAGAGTTTTAACATGCATTTGGGTACGTAACATGTGTCAGTTCACTTTATTTTCACATCATTTTCAACATTTGATGACTACAAAATTTCACTTGCAATGAGAATCATTTGTAAACCTGTTGTCTCAGAAACTTAAAGGTCTCCCTACAGTTTTATGCCAAAATAAAAGCTTGCATGCAGACTGAAGTTCATGCAGACTTTGTGCTCAGTTGTTATCGGATGTAGCAGGTTATGGAGGGTCATATCTGCTTTAAATAATGTGTTTATGACAGAAATTTGAAATTGAATTAACCTTAAAGTAAACTATGCATCACTGGTTTCACCTTAAAGTGAGTGAAAAAAATTAGTCAAGGTCAAGAAAAAAAGTCCACACCAATAATTTCATGAACAATATAGTTGGAACAGTATACACTTTCAGAGCATTTTTTTTTTAAACTGATAAGCTATAAAAACATTGACGTGCACCGTGATCCACTGAACATAACTGAGGTATGCTCTTAGAATAAACACAATGTAATCATCCACTGGTGTGGGCGCCAAAATAGTTATCATTATAGTTTTAATTTCGGGTTTTCTTTAAGCCCCGACTTTGCAAGCTCATTAATCATAAACATTAATCATTATCCCAGACAACAGTAATAGTTTAGCCCGGTTTATAAAAAGACAGGCGTGTATAACCAAACTTCATTTCTCATCATTTTCTGTGGCAGGACAGAAATGATAAAATACACATATAAATCATCAGCTACACACATATGCATATCCTTTGCATTTCATTTGGCTTCATTAGAGCTAAAAATAATCCTTTCAATCATTTTGATGAGTGAAAGAATGACAAAGAATTATGAAATGGTATGAATTATAGGTGTGGTTATATAGTAAATGTTAATGTAATTTTGGGAGTCTTGAGCGAGACTTTTTCATCAACCCAGTGAGTAAAAGAGACTCATAAGCGGCAGCTTTACGAGAGTATAATTATATTGCATAAAAAACAGAGAGAGTTCAATTAAGCTGACGTGTACTGATGTGTACATATACTTATTAATAAGCTCGGCGCGTTTTTTGGTATTTTCGCCTAAATTTAACATCTGACTGAAGCAGTGCTACGAGTATAAATGTAAATTCGCTCAGAGGTGACCAAATTTTACATCGCGGTTCTATCGAAGATAATTCGATCTGTGATTGTCACACAATGAAATAATCTACATCGTCAAATTCCTGAGAATGAGAGCTTTCTTGTGATATATGACTTGACTTTTTTGTGAAAAATATATAAAATACACATTCTTCGTAAAAATTATTCGCAATGGTTAGGCGGAAATTCGTGTGTGGGACGAATACATTTCTAAGCTTAATTTTACTGCTTTATGAATATAAAAACCAAAAGGAATGGTATTCTTTGTAAAGAAGACACTCCAAGCTTTCAAATGAACCCATATATGGGCTGATACCATATAAGGAAGGTTATGTAAGTGAAGCATAAACATTTTTAATGTCATTTTGGCAGAGTTTAACTGGAAAGTCTTAAAGTCTGTCTTATTTAACTCATGTAAAGTTATGTCTTATGTCTTTGAGGCATGACTTTATGGATTGCATGACTCTCCTTGAGTTTGTCTCTATTTCTCAATGCCAAGTTTAAACTACATATCAATCATTTATGTAACACATCTCATTTATGCTTTATTTGCTGATATGTCAAATAAAGTATATAAATTAAAGCAAATCATGTAATTTTACCTGTAAATGCCTCTAACTAAAATCACTTCACATCAAAAATAGCATAAGAGATAACTTCTCAAGTGGAGATATATCATTTAGAATAAATAAATACACAGTCAATTTAAAATTTGATTTCCTGAGTAAATATCTGAAGTTTTTAGATTGAGAAAATGCTTGCTGTTTTTTGAGATCCAGACTTGACTAACCGTCTTATTAAGCTGTCATGTAGTTGCAGTTCTCCCTGTAAATCAGTCTTTTTTAGACTGTTTTCTCAACTGAGACACTATTTGCTGGTCTTGCATTTGAGCCGAATGATAGAATTGAATTTTCCAAGTTCCAATCGTCCCAGTCCAATGGTTAGCTCTTTTTTCTCTCACAAATCAAGAATGAGTTTTACCTAGACCTAACTTACAAAGAATACAAAGATAACCACAACATCTAAAACTTATACCTTCTAAAGGCCATAAACTTGTTATCATGGAAAATCTAAAAAGACATCTGGTAATTACTGAAAACTTGTCCATCTAAGAGGGATTTAGGATCCCTTTATAAACGTTTGTTTTCAAAATCTGAATGAATTGATGTACTACAAGGAAGCAGTGCCAAGTTCTCCCGGAAGCAGGGAGCTATCAGGTCATTTGGTGAGATTACAGAATGTCCACACATGGCTGAACCTCAGATGTGTCAGTGTGTCATGATCCAGGAAGGAAGGAATGTATGTGAAGTAGCATCGATAGCCTGAGAGAGCAAGCGACATAAAGGAAATACAGAGAAAGAGAAAGGGTGATAAAGGGCTGCTGTTTAGCTTTCATGCCACACAATAAGAGGTCTGTTCACATTCTCTATGCTCCGTTGTTTTATTCACCATCTTCCTTTACAATCTCACCACGCAATTCTGTTTTCTGTGCCAGAGAGTTTCCTTCTCTGTTTAAAACGGCATGTTTAGAGAATGGAAAACTTTTAAAGTATGCACTATTTAGACACAAATAAAATGTTATTGTTTTGTGCTTTCTATGATAATGCGGAGGATTCATGAAATGTAGTCATCAGAATCATATAGCATTGTTTTAAGAAAAGATTTATTGCTGTTAGTTTTATTACAAGAGCAACATTCTAACATTATACAGAGCAGGACCAGTTTTGTGTAATGAAGGTCTACTGGATTCATTAAGTGTATGGAAATATAGGCTTCAAAACTCATATTTTATATATTGACATCAAGTGATGATTGAGCACAGTACCAAAAGTGTTTAAAAAAATATTGCAATGAAGTTCATAGACTCAACAATATGTACGATTGCACACAGCCTGTCCATTCTGGCATCTGAGCGATTTGGCTTGATTCTACATGAGAGATGAATTTGGGCCAAAATGCCATAGTTTTGGACAAACAACCTTTGACATCAACAAAAAAATATATGGGAATAATTTTTTCCTTCTTTTTTGAAAGTCATTAATTGAATTTTATGAATAGCATTTAGCATTGATTTTTCCCTCATTGACGACAAAGTAGTGTTAGAATCATATTGAGCAATGTGTTTTTTGGCAGATTTGGAAACCATAATCACACATTTTATACAACTTATGACCAGAGACGAGTTTTCAATCAAAATGTTTCTTTAGGATGCACTTCCTGGCTAAAACAAGAAAAAACAAACCTCCAAATTAGCCACAACATCAATAAGTAGCTTTTAAAGAATGTAGCGTCGTGTCCGAATAAAGCCAAACCAGAGCATTCGCGCCGGCCGAATGTTAAACAGAAAAGACGCAAATGACTGTCCCCATAGAATGGATGTTCTTGGAGGGAAGTTGCTCTGTGTTTGTGAGGTCAGAGGGGTTACCCTGGTTACCCATTGGAGGAAGCAAATACTGTGGGTTGTCAATTGTCTTCCCAGTAAAGGAGATTAGTGGCTCAATGGTTATGTGAGAGCATTTTAAAGAGGTGCTGGCTTCTTTTCCACTGACTCACATGGATCCCCTATGGCCATGTTTTTACACATAGCCTCTATGGGTCAGAATGACTCTGTTCAGAGCGTTCGAGCTCTACGAGAACAGTTTAGCCCATTGCAGGTGAGAGAATGTTGCATCAGATTTCAGACAGTTTTCCAAGAAAGTGGTTGTTCTCGAAAATCAGTGACTGTTGTATGCATTGATGTAGACAGAAGTATGAAGCTTGTTGTTGCCCATATAAACCTGTTAAATGTCTTAAATCTATATTTGGTTCTATGATGTCCCAGAGATAACATTACAGTGCTTATCTTGTGTTTTAAATGAATAGTTCATGCTATAGACATGCCAAGCTAAAACATTGGGACCAGTCACAGATGAAGCAGTTATCGTTGATCATCAACAAGGTCACATATTAAGATCTGGATAGAATGGATGGCAAGCAAACAATCAGTTCTCGTAATCAAAACCATTGGATGCAGGAGAAATGGGCAGAAATAAACATGTGAGCGACTTTGACAAGGGCCAAATTGTTATGGTATGGTGACTGGGTCAGAGGATCTCTGAAATGGCAAGACTTGTGTCACCAGTGGTGCCAATTTACCAACAGTAGTCCGAGGAGGGACAAAACCACAAACATGGTATTGGGCGCCCAAGGCTCATCGATGCACAGGGGCAACAAAGGTTATTCCATCTGGACTGAGCCAACAAAAGGTCTGCTCTGGCACAAGTCACACAAAATGTTATTGCTGGCCATGATAGAAAAGTGTCAGAACACACAGTGCATCATCATACTCTGCTGTGTATGGGGCTACGTAGCCACAGACCAATCAGAGTGCCTATGATGACCTCTGTACACTGCCAAAAGCACCTACAATGGGCATGTGAGTGTTGGAAATGGACATTGGAGCAGTAAGAAGAAGGTCGCCTGGTCCAATGAGTCCACCAGGATGCACTGTGGGACAATGACAAGCCGGTGGAGGGAGTGTGATGCTCTTAGCAATATTCTGCTGGAAAACTGAGTCTGGCCACATCATGTAGAAGTAGATTTGATATGTGCTGCCTACCTAAACATTGTTCCAGACCACGTACACCTGGGCTGGTCAACTTTGCTCCTGGAGGGCCACTGTCCTGCAGAGTTTAGCTCCAAGCCTAATCAAACACACCTGAACAATGTCTTCAAGATCACTAAAAAGCTACGGGCAGGTGTGTTTGTTTAGGGTTGGAACTAAACTCTGCAGGACAGTGGCCCTCCAGGAGCGAAGTTGCCCAGCCCTGACATACATCCTTCATGACAATGTTTTTTCCTGGTGGAAGTGGACTCTTTCAGCAGGATAATGTACCCTGCCACTCTGTTCAGGAATGGTTTGAAGAACATGATAAAGAGTTCAAGGTGTTGCTTCCAAATTCCCCAGATCTGCTGTTGATGTCTTGGTGCCAGATAACATAGGACACCTTCAGGAGTTTTGCAGAGTCCATGCTTCGATGGGTCGGTGCTGTTTTTGCAGCACACGAAGGACCAACAGCATGTTAGGCAGGTGGCCATAATGTTTTGGCTCATCTGTGTATTATTTGCTGTTATTTGGAAAAAAAGTGAAGCTATTATTATAGTAATGCAATTGCTTCCAGTAATTCTAAGCAATAAACAATTTAGTAGATCTTCTTTGCATTTTTGTGCACATACATTAACCACTCAAATGTCAAGTCAAGTCACCTTTATTTCTATAGTGCTTTATACAGTGCAGATTGTTTAAAAGTAGTTTCAAAGTAAATCAACTGATAAAAATAACAATCAATTATGAAACTTCTTCAAACATAGCCGCTTTTCCACTGAAATTACCTGGAATAATTTGTCCCAGGAATGTTTTTCCCAGACCTGTTGCTGTCTGAGTTTCCATCGCGGCCTAAAGTACTTAGTAGTGAAGATTAGGCAAATAGTCTGGTGACGTAGGACTGCGCGCGACTGCTCCTCCCAGTCCAGGAGGGGGCGCTAATGTAGAACAACGATAATGTCATACAAAGCGACGGACAATCATAATTTTTTTGTCACCGTTTCCAGTTCCTGCTGGATTTCATCCTCAGCACTGCACCAGCACTGAACCGCAACAGTCTTTTAAAAATGGTGTTTGAAATACAATGCTGCACAGAGTCAACCAATCCAAATGCTGCGTGAACTGAACCAATCAGCATGTTCAGTGCCCAAGTCCCACCCCTGAAAGTTCTGGACCTTTGAAAAAGTACTACCTCGCGAGCAGGGACTTTTTTACCCAGAACTTTAGTTACATCCTTTTTCCTGTGGTGGAAACACACCGAGTACCGCCCCAAAGTCCCTAGATCCTGGGGAAAGTTCCTGCAGTGGCTTTATGAAAGAAATTCAAATTCTGTTGTAAATCAGCTCTAAAAAGACAATAGAGTCATTATTCAGCTCCCGTAATTTCATTGTTGGTTCACTTCAGTTCAATAACACTGTAAAGTTAATTTAAATTCTATTAAATTCAGCTATAAGCCGTTCTACAAAAGGAACAATATTGTTGTTCGGCTTGAGTCAGTTCAATGCTGACTCAATTCATTTGGATAACAGTGTTGATGTTGCAAGAAGACAATAGTGTCTTCAATGCTTTTTTACTCAAGTCAGCATGTCTTGTCAGTCTGTGAGAATTTGTATCATGTTGTGTATTGTTTGGACTTGTTTTCATTGGGATCATTTCCTGCAAGAAATGATATCATGCCACTTTCCATATTCTGTTTGTTTCAATGCCACATCCATATATAACTTAGAAGTCATTTACACAGGATACATATTCACATTTCTGTCTGTTTATTTACTCACAGCTCTATTGCAATGTCTCACTTGAAAAATAAGTGACCTGGTGTGACAAAATAAGTTCAAAAGCAGAGCATGTCATCCCTGGTTTTCAATGTAATAACAGAGAAAAATAATAATTTTATAGTAATTTATTTTTTGTCTTTTAAAAAATAAAAAAAGATCATACAACTTTAGTATGACACCTAATTAGCTTTCCACTCCCGATGAAAGAGTTAAATGCCAAAAGTAAAATTATGGGTGGTAAGTAATTACCACCCAGAAAGAACTGATAATTAATCATTAATGAACTGACAGCTAATATTTGACCACATCTTCTCACTCAGAATAAATGACAACTAGAGCATACGTCTTAGGATCTCATTGCAGTGCCGATATAATCAATAACAGTAGTTATGTTTAGATTTTTGATTTGTGATTGTTGCAGGTGTGGGTGGATGCAGGCACGCAGATCTTCTTCTCATATGCTATATGTCTGGGCTGTCTTACGGCTCTGGGCAGCTATAACAGCTACAACAACAACTGCTACAGGTGAGAGTCCAGTCAAGTGAAAAGAAGTTTGCAGAGACAATGCAACCTCCTTAAACTTTGACTGTGTTTATTGTGTACAGTCTATAACTATCTTAGTCAACAGAAAAATTTTCTTTCATGTCAAAGTGAAACAAATTTCTACAACTACTACTATAAGCATTCTTCATTTTCAAGTCAGTATTTCGCATTCGCCCCATTGGCAGCATTGACAGCTTTGCTCTGGTCACTGCAGTGATCCTCCACTCTGAAAAACTGCTCAAGCTCAGTCAGGTTACATGGAGATTGCAAGTGGTCAAACTTTTGCTTGTCCACACATAAACTGGACTGAGATCTGGCCTTTATCAATTTTGCACTCATCAGACCATATATACCTTCCCCAAGCCCACTGGAAAACTGTTGCTGAGAAATGACATGTAATGTTGGCTTCACTTTGCCACTTTCTCATAAAGCTGGCAACTGTCTCTCCAGTCTCTGCCACCAACTCCTTCATTGGTTTTCTGGTGGTTTCCCTCGTCAGTGTCCTTCAGTTCTTCTTTATGGAAATCTTCTGCCTCCATCCCCTGCCTTGTCTTTTTTTGTGTTCCGTTTTCCTCATGGTGCAAGTTTTGACACAAAACTGATTCATCAGAAGGTGGCTATTCCAGTTTATAGAGATTAATTTACATTACAATTAATAATAATAAGGATCTTCATTTCCCCTGCCTTGTCTTTTTTTGTGTTCCGTTTTCCTCATGGTGCAAGTTCTGACACAAAACTGATTCATCAGAAGGTGGCTATTCCAGTTTATAGAGATTAATTTACATTACAATTAATAATAATAAGGATCTTCATTTCAATATTTGTGTGACTTCCAAAAACTAATTGGTGGCACCAGAGATGATTTAGATGTGCCATATTAACAGGGCTGAATACTTATAGAATCAAATATTTCGATTTTTGTCTTTATTATTATTTTAGTCTTTTACAGTCTTTTTCTGTTGATCAAAAAATTGATGTGAAGTTCTGTGTGTTGTCTTTGCAGGGACTGCATCATGCTGTGCTGTCTGAACAGTGGCACGAGTTTTGTGGCAGGATTTGCCATTTTCTCTGTCTTGGGCTTCATGGCATATGAACAGAATGTGCCAATAGAGGCAGTGGCAGTGTCAGGTGAGTGTGAATTTGTGAGCTAAATCTGTTAAAACCTTTCTTTGGAAACATTTTTAATAAAAAAAAAAAAAATAGTTTAATCATTTATAAATTTGCAAATTGGGTTGATCTATTGTAATTCAAATTACGTAAGCTCATTTATATAGAAAAGTCTTATATGTGTGTGAGAGTGAGAGTTTTTATTTGAGATACAGTAGCCTACAGTGAGATATCTAAGTGTGATGTCTTTGGACTCATGCAATTTAAAGCACTTCTCCGAAATGCTTTTTTATTGTATGACTTATTCAACAATCCAGCATTACTTATTTACTACAATAGAGCAAGGCTGAATGTAAAAGTGACTGAAATACACTTTGAAGAGTTTTATAAATTATCTGACTGTTTTATTAAGATTAAGATGTTTGGAAACTTTGCTACGCAAACATGTATTCAGTTGTTGAATCACCAAACTATAAGCTTAGAGCAAAGGTTCTCAAACCTGTTCCTGTACAATATAGAAAAACAAGTTTTCAGCCACTATGCTTTCAATAAGTGATCCATAAACATTATTTGGTTACACTTTATTTCGATAGTCCACTTTAGACATTCTACTAACTATAAGTAACTTTGTAACTACGTCAACTACATGTCAACTAATTCTCATTAATTTGCAACTACATGTCTACTAACTCTCAGAGTAGATTGTTAGGGTAGGTTTAGGGTTAGTAGAATAAGTTGACAAAGAAAGTGTTAGAAGATATTAAGCAGACAGTCTACTAATACTCTACTAACTGCTAGTTGACATGTAGTTGCAAAGTTACTTACTGTTAATAGAATGTCTAAAGTGGACTATCGAAATAAAGTGTTACCCATTATTTAATGCACTTTTACTAAAGCTCCACTCTTGGCATTTTTCTGCAGCCAGTATTATTTAATGAACAGTAGCTCTGGGCTGATATTATAGCATATTACTGTAATGCTATGGCACAGTGATCTCTGCTCTTGGCCCGCTGCTTTTGGACAGGTGTCTTTGTACTGCAAAACCAGAGCCAAGCCACATGGCATCCTTAGGCTATTTCACCAGGACTCTGAGAAGTCAGTTCTGTCATGGAGACTGTTGAATTTGCCAATCTAATGCATGTTCTCTTAGTACCCAACCAGGGGTGCGTTTCTCAAAAGCAGCTATGGTCGCAAGTTCCGTCATTACAAATAGAGTTCAGTGGAACTTGCGACCATAGTTAGGTAATGATGCTTGAGAAATGCACCCCAGAACACAAGGCCGAATCCATGTCTTGAACATTTATATATAAATTCTAGGTCTAATTCTAGTTGCTAAGTAATCATTTTGACCTATTTGCAAGTAATATTTTAAACGTATGCACTTTTATTTGCATGCCTAAAAGCACGTCAAAAACGTAAAACATTTCTTGTCTCGACACATTCAGCTAGTTGAATCAGGTCAATTATACTATATTTTCAATTCAAAATGGACATATTTGAGAAAAAAAAGGAGTAGTTTGCATCTCTGGATAGTGTCGGTCGTTTAACATTTCTACAGTAAAACAAGTGGTCAAATATTAAATGTTGAACTACTCCCATGCTCTGCTTCTGTGGACAGTAAGCCCCTCTTACTTTGATTTGATTGCCCATCATTTTGCCATTGACGAGCACTGTTAGACCGCTGAGGCAGACCAGGCTAAACATGTCACTTTTACAATTTTTCCCAATTTCTTAGACACAATTCTGGGAACAACTCACCATTTTCTCAAATCTTCACACACAATTTTAAAATCTCACACCCAACGGTACAAACAGCGAACTTCTGAATCCCAATTCAAACTTTGCCCTCAGTCAATACAAACAAACTGTCAAAAACACAGACTACATGACTGTTTTTTACACATTGGAGGGATACATTCAAAACACTGCTACCAAATGCGTTAGACGTTTTCAGATCAATAGTTTGGAACTTAGTGAAATCACAGCACTGACTAATAACTGTTTCAGAAACAACCCTGACCAAAAAAAAACAAACCAGTAGTGTTTTATGCATTTGTGCTTACATAATTGGATAAAGCAACACTGTACATGCTGTTTTGGACAAAAAGCTGACCTTTGAAATGTCACCCTGACAAAACATGTAAGGAAGAGTCCATGCAGAATATAATACTTCAATTTTCAAAACCTTTATTTCCAAAGGCAAGCAAATATACAGGTTACTCAGCAACAGCATCAACGTTCTCATCATTATCTCGTCTCAGGTGTAGGTCAGGCCATAGTATCTCATCAACATCACACATTACGTTTGCTCTTGCGATGCAGCGGGGAAAAAATGCCCTTGTGTGCCTTATATAACCCTGGATAGACTCCACAGACACATCTTCACAGGCGTCCAGCATTGCTTCCAGGAGGTTTTGGTGTATGTAGGGGTTGCGGTCAAACACTTTCCACCGCCATGCTGAGAAACATTCCTCAATCGGATTCAGAAATGTGGAATATGCTGGCAAAAAAAGAACAGTGAACCTGGGGTGGGCATTGAACCAGGTGTGAACTAGAGCAGCACGATGGAAACTCACGTTATCCCAAATGACAACATATTGGACCTGCTCTGGTTGCCCTGGCTCCCCTTCCTGTTGAAGAATGTTATTGTGCAGCTGATCTAGAAATTGAAGGAGTTGTGCCGTGTTGTATGGACCCAGTTTGGCATGGCGGTGGAGGATGCCATGATTGCTGATGGCTGCGCATATGGTGATGTTGGCTTCCCTTCTGGCCAGGAACTTGTGACCGCACAGTGACCAAGGATGTTGCGCCCTATTTTGCGCCTTTTTGTCAGGTTGAACCCTGCCTCAATGAAGATGTACTCATGTGGGTCAGCCATGGCATCCAGCTCAAATATCTTCTACAGAAGTAAAAAAAAATAAAAAATTATAGTACTGTACTTCAAATACAGTACTGTATTGATGTGCAAGAGAGACAGGCCATGTTCTACACACTGTAAAAATTCTGTACTGTATATCAGTTACCTGCACACTGTAGAACCCGATAAGTTCAGAATACTAAATTTTTGTGGACACCAATTACCTCAATTTAATTAAGCAACTCACATTTTTTAAGTTAACATTAACTATAAATAACAATTAAGTCAAACTAAAAAGCTTAAATTTGGTTTTGCTTAATGTTAAAAAATTTAATTAAGCAACTCAAATTTTTTAAGTTAACATTAATCATAAATAACAATTAAGTCAAACTAAAAAGCTTAAATTTGTTTTTGCTTAATGTTTAAGTGCAGTGTACTTAAAATTATTGTTTATCATACGTAATGTTTTTCATTTACCAATTATTTTGATGCAGTGGTGCTTTATTAAATACAAATACTAACTCACACTTATGCATAAAAAAAATTAAAAAAACACAACATGCACAACTGTGGCTATACAATTGAGGATTTTTTATTCAGCCTTTTTTAAAACGCATGAACGGTGTATTTCTGAATGTCAAACACTGGAAGATCAACTCATCACAACTGCAGTGCTTGCAGGACTTGTAGTGGTTTCGTTGTCCATGACAACAAAATCAGCAGGAGAGGGGTTTGTGTCAGTGATGTCTGGCTCGCCCAATTCCTCCTGGAATAAGCACAGAGGGTAAAACTTTAACTTCAAAGACTAAAAGTAGACATTTATATTTACTGCCAATAGAGTGGGGGAACTATAACATCAGAACCCGGAAGAGTAATTCGCCATGGGTTCATTCTAGATTCAAAATCAGCAGGAGAGGTGTTTGTGTCAGTGATGTCTGGCTCGCCCAATTCCTCCTGGAATAAGCACAGAGGGTAAAACTTTAACTTCAGAGACATTTATATTTACTGCCAATAGAGTGGGGGGGAACTATAACGTCAGAACCCTGAAGAGTAATTCGCCGTGGGTTCCTTCTAGATTTTCCTGTGGGGTTTTATAATGGGGTTTTTTCAATTAAAATAAAGCCTGTGGTAAACATAACTTGACGATACTTTTACGTTTTGTTGTACAACGTAAATTACACACATCCATACCAAAACACAAATTTTGAAGCAGTTATGTTCATTTTTGAAAACGTATGTTTTTAATAAGTAGCTAGATAAGAAGGTTTAGGCTGTGAGTGTGTGCAGTTTACATTGTAGAACAAAACGTAGAAGTATCATCAAGTTATGTTTAACACAGGCTTTATTTTATTCATAAATTGAAAAACCCCATTAAAAAAAGAAAACCCATAGGAAAATATCAAAGGAACCCGCGGCAAATTACACTTCCTGGTTCTGACATCATAGTTCCCCCACTCTATTTCAGATCTATTAATGCACTTAACACTTACATTTCATGTACTGAAGAACAGTTCTCCACACATGTTCACTGAGAGCATGAAGGGCTCGTTTCATGTTGACATCATGTAAACAAAAAAAAAAAAAAACGTTAAACAAGCAGGCCAACTTTATTTTATATACAATGAAGACAGTAATGGAGGTAGTTAGTGTTTGTGAATTTGCACTCACCTGAAGATCAAACATTTAGAATGTCATGCAACATCTGTGAAATCTTGCTGTTGTGTGCCACTTTTTTCAAACATTGGGGGAGACAATTTCTAATTATTGGGGGGTCCATGGTGGTTACGGCTCTGCCAGAATGTTTATGGTCTGTTTTTACCCCTCGATAGGACTAACTTTGTACTAGCTTTCTGTCTTTCTAACAAAATTAAAAACAGAAAGTGTTAGTTATTGTATTGCGAAATGTATTTCAGGTCCTGGTCTAGCGTTCATAGCATATCCTAAAGCTGTGAGCATGATGCCGTGGTCTCCATTGTGGGCCTGCCTGTTCTTCATGATGCTCATCTTTCTCGGGCTCGACAGTCAGGTGACAAATGCACACATTTTGTAAACAATTCCTTCAAATTAATAATTCAACCAAGAATACAAATGCTGCCATTATCTGCTCAACCTGTAGACTGTTTTTTTTTCTGTCAAACACACACAAAACATTTTGGGGTTATATTTTCCTTTACAGTTTTTCTGAATTGCTGAAACACTAAACCCCAATATGTTAATCAGTAATTTTACACATGATAAAAACGTGCACTTAATTTGCTTGGAAAATACTTGCGAATACGGCAGTCATAAAAAAAACCGCGCCGCAACAGCTAAAGTCTGTCTACACTGGATGCAAAAAAGCGACCGTTGAAAATCATTTGAAATTTGTGCCAATAAGTCATAAATAGAACGCAGCAGCAGTTTTCTGTCAGGATTTTATCGTGTGATTCACGATGATGTGTCGCGCTGCATCCAGTGTAGACAGCACCGCGCCGTTCGCGTTCAATGTAGACACGGTGTTAGAGAGAAGAATATGTTCAGCCCCCTCCCTCCGAAGCTTTGAATATTCGGTGTTGATTACTACCGAAGCTTCGAAGCTCAAAAAATGGTATTCGGACCAGCCCTACAAAATATGAGTCAGTTCAGAGTGCACAAGTGGCACAGGTGACTGAACGATGATACGAACAATAGATGGAAACAATGTGAGAAGGAGAGGAGGAAGAGTACATGTAAGAAGTGGAGGATGAGGAGAGAGTAAGGTGTAGAGAGTGTTATCAAGGCTGGGTTTGTCAGACCAGAGGGTTTTTTCTCTTTGTCTAGCAAAAAAGACAACATTACTTGTGAAGTGGACAAAGTCCTCAGGCCGGACTCAAGCACAAAGACATGACACTGAGACAGAATGAGTCTCTCATTGACCCTGATGTTACAATTGCACAACTTACAGTATTTGAGTGTACTGTAACCTGCTATTCATTTAGAGTTTTATTTGACCTTTTTGGCCTTTGCAGTTGGACTGCAGTATTTTTGCAGTATCCAAGTGCTGAATATATACAAACATTCAGTACTATTCAATATTCAGCACAATACTATTCTTGCAGTACATACAGTAGGCCTATACAATATATTCACCTTACTCAGCTGCAATTACTAGACTTTTTTACAGAATTGCAAAATTGTTTACTCAATACAATATACTTTTTCTGTAATGTTCTGGATGCTGTGTTCTCCATTCTTCTCTGTAGTGTCTAATGAATGCTCTGTAGTGTTTTCTTTATTGACTCGTGTGCGTGTGTGTATGGTATGTGTGTGTGATCTGAGAGCACTGTTTGATTTTGAGTGAAAGTGAAATGGTTTTGCAGTGATTGTTTGATTTTGATGGAAGAGTCAGAGGTTTCGTGAATTTAGTTTGAGTTGGATTTGGATTTGTGTTTAAGGTTTTGAGAAAATGAGTCATGGTTTCAAGAAATGTTTTAGCAATTCAAAAAAACTGTAATATTTACAGCATTTCATATCTTATTTCAAACATGAATTAGTATTTTTCTATAATGTTGCAGTAGGACCGCTGTGGTGGTTGTTTATGGAGTGGACACTGTTACCCCACTTACAGTTTTTGCCTATTGCTTACACACGTTTTGCTAAATTTGGCTCATTGTGTCAAAACTCTACACACAAGCAAATAACACACAACACTGGGAAATAAACCATTCACATCTATGTCAAATTGAAACTCTGCTATCAAAACCTAACAATCCTTTGTCAAAATGTCACTCTGATGACAAAATGATACCCACTTGCATCATATGAATACACTTTCAGATCAGCAGCAACACACTAGTCTACTTTATATAAAAAACTGCAGTCTTTTGTTTTCAATGTTTTTATTCAGTTCCACAGAGGGCATGTTTTCACAACAACCAAAAAATGAAATACTGATTTCAAAATCATTACATTACAGTAGTATATTTTAGAGTACAGTAAATTCAGTTAAATCAAAAATAAAACAAACAATACACTACTGTAAACACAGAAAAACACAATTGTGCGCAAGTGGGCTTATGGATCCTGCCGTCTGTTGGGGTCTGGCCACAGGATCTCATCAACATCACAAGCAATGTCTTCTCTCGCTAAGCATCGGGGAAAATATCCCCTTGTGTGTCGAATCCATCCCTGGATAGACCTCACCTCAATGTCTCCGCAGGCCTGTTCCATTGCCTGCAGAAGAGGCATACGGGCATGTGGTTGGCGGTCATATACGCGCCATCTCCAAGCGGAAAAAAATTCCTCTATAGGATTTAGAAATGGCGAGTAAGGGGGCAAGTACAGAACTTCAAAGTGATCATGGTTGGTGAACCAGTTCTGGACCAGAGCAGCCCGATGGAAACTAACATTATCCCAGACAACAACAAACCTGGGCTGCTCTGGTCCATCCTGTCCAACTGCATCATGAAGTGCATCTAGAAATGTGATGATGTGTTGCGCATTATAGGGACCCAGTTTGGCATGATGGTGCAGTAGGCCTCGAAGACTTATGGCAGCACACAATGTGATATTTCCCCCGCGCTGCCCCGGGACGTGCAAAATTGCCCTTTGGCCAATTATATTACGTCCCCGTCGTCTGTTTTTGCTAAGGTTGAATCCAGCCTCGTCAATGTAAATACATTCATGCGGCTGGGCAGCTCCATCCATGTCCAAGATTCTCTGTAACAAAAAATACATATTGTGGATGGCTTTACTCAAAGCAGAGGAAGCAGAGGGAGTGGAGCACGGTCAGTACTCGGGCGAGGGCTCCCTCTGCTGGCTTGGCGTTACAGAAGCCCCCCCTCTAGGAGCGACTCCTGGAGCTCGACGTGGACGTCCCCGTGGTCTCGGTGCTGGGCGGTCGGGTCTGGCTCGATGAAACTCCTCGATGAGTGATGGATCCAGAATGTCACGGGTGGCTACCCATGACCTCTCCTCAGGTCCATAGCCTTCCCAGTCCACCAAATACTGGAGCTGACCCCCTCTTCGTCTCGAGTCCAGTAACACATTTAACCTGTATGCCGGGGTTCCATCAAAATCCAGTGGTGGTGGTGGTGGTTCTGGGGCTTCATGGCCAGGGTCA